TGATTTACGTTAAATAATGTTAGCTTTTTGAAATTATTATTAATACTTTTTTCGCCATTCTCAGTTACCTTCTACAACCTTCTATATTAGATATTTTCTAAAATTCTCATTTTTCCAACGATATATTAAACGTATACTTTCTGACTAGTACTTCCGGAGATTTATTTTCGACCTGGATAAGCATTTTATTTTATTTTTTCATTTATTAAATAACAAATTCTTTCAAAAGTTATATTTAACATTTTTTCTCAACTCTTAGTAATGAGAGATAGTTAATTATTTAAAATAAAACATATTAAAGGTACTTTAGAGGAAGACATATATATGAACATTGGGTATTTAAGCCCTGTAATGTGACATCAATGGGGATAAGACCTAAATGATATTAAAGACCACTTAATTATACTATGATACACCGAGTTTAATCAAAATCGTTAGAGCCGTTTTTGAGAAAATAGTAAAAATGTGTTTCACCGTTGATATAAAGTGGCACTTCAGGTTAGCCAATTTTAAGGAAAAAGTTGCTCTCACATCTAAGGCATATACCTATCTTAAATACGTAATATTAGTTTCGTACGACTTTTAGTTTTTGAGCTAGACTGTTCACATACACACAGACTCACAGACACATAGACCATTTTTTGGGACTTGGTTATTTGGATCAGGGTACCTCAAAACGTGTATTTCCGTTGAAAACTCAAATTCAAAAATGTTCATGATCGCAATACTTACCCTTACTATATATTGAATCTCATTATTACTTTGTGAATAAGTTGCTTTCACTTCTTTTCAAGATATTTTATTTTATTTTAATCAGATGCACTTGGGTGATTCTAAATTGGAAATAAAATATTTCATAAGAAATAAGGGCTAGTAGTAATATAGTGTATGCGAACAAAATGATGTGTGCATAAAACCTGATTGAATGTCATCTTAGCCCTTGGAATCAATTCAATGTCCCAGTAATTAAAACATATTATCATAGAGGAAGATATTGAAGCAAAATATTCCAGAATTATTCAAGAAAGATTATTTAAGTTACTGAGTGATGAAATTTGATCTTTATAAGAATATGTAAAAATATAAGTTGTTAATAATCAAAATCCAACGTTGGAATTTTTTTTTTGGCATCTAGCTGTTCATTTTAATAGACTTTAAATAACTGTTATGTAGCCGATTGTGAGGAAAGTGTTTTCATTAATAATAGTTTTAAATAAAATCATCTGAATATATAAATCTAATATGAAAGTAAATATTGTAGCTAATTTATCATTATGACTTTTTAATTTCAAGGTATAAGTAATAAACCTCTAGATATAAACATTTCCATAATATAAAAGTCTTAAAATGCATGTGCAAATGGTAAAATTTTTAACCATAAAAATTAATTTTTCATGTTGAATTGCTTAGGATGAAATTTTCACAAATATTTTTGCTCTAATCATGTACACTGTTTATTTCATGAAGGAACTGAAAATTCATGTTAGCAGTGCATACATGTTTGTGAAAATCATATAATAAACTGGACAGTATTTGCCAATAATTTATGCTATGGATATGCTATAAAATGATGAGATGCTTCTGTTTTCCTGATTAAGTATTTTTTTTTTCGAGATTTTTATTTCTCTCAATTCTGCAGAATAAAATGTCTAAAGAAACACATTTTCAGGTTGATTGGCTACAGGATGGCTAAGGTTTTCAGAGTGACTAGAAGAGGAAAAAAATTCAAAGGGTGCCAGATGTAAGCTATGTAACAAGAGGATTGAATAATATGGAAAAGCGTGCATTGGTAAGTCATATGCAAGGAGTCACAAAAAATGTGACTAGGTAGCTAAAATCTCTTCCTATTATGACATTTTTGGAAAGAAATAAAGCTTCTGCTCTTAATAAAACACCTGAAGGTTCACTACCAGGAACAAGCCAGCAAAAACAAGTGACCTTGGCATCAACTTCTTCATTAGACTCTCTTTTTCTCCCTAAAGGAAGTGAAATCAATAAAATTAAAAATTATCTTATAAATGGTCAAGTTACAGAGACAGACATTTTGTGGTTTGTTCAAACTATTATGACTCACAAGTCCCTAAGAACAGCTGCCAAGGATGTGGCATTGTTTCCTATAGCGAATGTTCCCAGATAGCGACATTGCAAAGCATTTGATGCTACAGCAGGACAAAATCGCTTACACACTTCTTTATGGACTTGCAAAATACTTTAGGAAATCTCTTACTGATGAAATTAATAAATAAGAAATGTTTGTTTTCGGTATCAATGAGTCATTACATGAAATTGCACAGCAGCAACAGTTGGACTTTAATATCAAATTTTGGTATTCTACCTCAATGAAGTTCACTCCAGGTATTTAACTTCAGTCTTCCTGTGCTGTGTAACTTCTAACAGCTTATTAGAAGCTTTTAAAAAAGAAACAGTTCCATTTGGACTTAATAAACTTCTACAAGTGAGTATGGATGGTCCGAATGTCAACAAACAATTTTAATAACCCTTTCAGAAGAAATTAAGGATGAATTTCAAAAAGAATTGTTGAATATTAGTAGTTGGGGTCTTCATGTAATGTAAGTTTGAACAAGTCTATATTTCAATATTATTATTTTCATCATATTATATTCTGCTATTTTTTTAGGCATGGAGCATTTAAAACAGCGATTAGAAGCACAAGATGGGGTTGTTATTGAATATTTGCGAGCATCATACAATTCTTTTAAATATTCCCCAGGAAGATGTCCCTTGTATCGATAAATTACTGTTTATGAAAATTTACCACTAAATTTCAATTCAACTAGATGGTTTGAAAACATTTATTGAATCTGACGATTCATTAAAAAATGAGGTAATACTAAAAAAAAGTTTACAAAAAATTAAATTGAGCATTGAAAATTCTTTGATAATTGCACATCTACGATTAATTGATCGTTAGTAGATGGGATTGAACCCTTCCTGCTTGAATTTCAACCCAACAGTCCTCTACCTCTATTTTTGTATAATTCGATTACATCTTTAGTTCAATCCCAAGTGGAAAAGATTGTGAAGATTGAAGTTCTACATCATTATCAGAATAACATCCACAAATTAAATCTTGATCTTGAAGAGAATCTTATCTCCCCAAAGTCAATAAATCTGGGTATCTCAATGAAAACCCAATTAAAGAAACTTAGCTCTTACTAAATTTAAAATGGAATGTCAAAATTGCATAAACATCTTTTTAACTAAACTGCTAGACCGGTCTCCATTAAATTTCTCAGATACAAAAGTCATTTCAAGTTTGGATCCTGCAGTTGCTAATTCAGAACATGTTTATGTACCAGGGTAAACAAAGATTTGAACATGCCATTTCATTTTTAATGGTAAAAAGTATTATTAGTGAAAACTGTGCTGTTAAGGCTGCGGATATCAATACAATGAAATTTGTAAAAAACCTCTTGTAAAGGAGCTTTTAAAATCATATGCCTGGAAAGAGATTTGATTAGATCATTTTTGGAGAGATTTGCTGAAATCAGACCCTCTTGAAGAATGAATTACTAGAGGTTGTAAAAGTTATTTTAATTATTTCACATGGTAATACCAACTGTGAAAGAGAATTTTCAATCAATTTGGAATGTTTAATGACTAACATGAGACATTAGTCTTTATTCGCTAAAGGCATAATCCATGATAGTGTCTCATCTGTGGGAGGACTGAAGCAGAAATTTTAGAAGCTGCTCAAAGAGAGGCTGAAAAAATTGAGGAAAAAATAGGAAGTTTGTGCCTTAAAATTCCTTATCAAGTTTAAAAAATGCCTCCTCTGAAACAATGTATTTGTTGATATTTACATTTGTTATATTTAAAACACGGATTTTTTTTTACTCGAATCATTTTGTATTTAATTTTCTTTCATATATAATAAAAAATATAGTTATAAATTATACATTTTTAATATTTGTGTCCCCAGACATATTATAAATTATAAATTTTTAATATTAGTTTATCTGGACACATTGGTCAGGAAAAGCTATCATTAAATAGGGAAAAATCAGAAAATTTTATTTCGAGAGTTTGGTAGCCACCTTGACAGTTCAATAGTAAACACAATACTATTCTAATTTTGAATAGATTTTACTGAAATTGTTCTTGACTTATTAAAATAAAGGATAAATAATCCATCTTAGGGATCGTTTTGTTAGATAAGATGCGTGTGTGTGTTAGTAGTACATAAAAAGAAATAGGAAAACCGAAAGGACTTATTTACAAAACCTAGTGTGCTTTTCTCAAACTCTGTAAATCTGGTTTCTTCAAACAATAATAATAAAATAAATAAACTAATACCTCCAATTTTTAAATTTTATTTTGAAATGCAAAATTATAGTTTTCATACATAAATTTAATGTTATGTACTTATGTATGTTCGTTAACAAAAATATTTCATTCTGGTGTTCACTTTTCCAGAGCTTATGTGGCATCAACAGTTTTACAATACACAATTTTTCAATAGACAAAATGATGTATTACTGATTTTAATTGTTGAAGGTTGACCATTTCTGCTCTAAGCCATTTATAAACATGATTAATGGCTACCTCAAACATCCATATCCAGCCAAATCAATAATTCTACATTTTATGAAATAAAGCAATATTCTACTGTCGTAAACTCTCAGAATTACACAAAATACAACCAGTTTCTACACTTATTGTTATAATAAACATTAAATATTTCCCTGTATCAGGAATTGGTAACAATATACATTTCTAATACTCATGTTCATAAATATTTTACATTTAATGATAAGAATTTTTCAGATCTCCATTAAAAGTTTTGGCATTCAATGGAATCTAGAAAACAGGCAAAAGACATAGGTGAAAGCAACCTTTTTCAAACTTTGCCATATTTATTTATAATTTTTAACATGTTCATAAATTGATAAAAATAAAAAAAAATCTGATAAAAGAAAATTTAATTAAGAGTAGAAATAAAAGCATGTCCAATCAAACACTAGTAAATTTTAAAAACTATTGAATATGCAGTATATCTCTACTTTTGATAAATGTCAATATTCAAAAAAAAAAAAAAAATAAATAATACTTCTTAGGTTGCTTCCAGTATAGATTAAATAGTTTTAATCAAATTGATCTCATATTAATGATATGGCGTTTTCTTGAAAATACAGTCTTAAAGTGAGACAGTTTTTACAATTAATAAATAATCATTGTTTTTTACCCATGTCTCTTGCCTTATTATTATTATTTTTTTTTTAAATTTTTAATATTTTTTTTTAAAGATCATACATAAAATATTGAATTTATACCTTACTGCAAGGTCAGCAAACTGCTGTTGAAACATCGGAGATAGTTTAAGACCAGTTTATTGCTGGTGGTTACAACTTATTCAAAACATGTCGTTGCAAAAGTTCAATTTAAAAGAAAATGGTTTTCACTAATGAGATAATGTTCGACAAAGGATAGAGTTAGACCAATTCACCGGTCAGTAACACCACTATCACTACTGGCTATACTGTGCTTGGTTTCCGCTGCCTAGACCTGGGTCCTAGGCTGGATCCTCTGCATCCACGCACCAGGCCCTGAAATGATCTCCTTACCAGCCGAGCGGATGCTAGTGCTTCTTGGTCAACCTCATCATCAAACCTGAAAAAGAGATTAGTTGTTCACTTGATTTGGAAAAAGTGAGATCTAAAAGCAATAGAAATAGCATTGCCTAAAAAATATACATTTAAAGTGAAAGTATGATAAACATTACTTATTTTTATTTTTAGGTTAATATTTCTTTTCTCTTCTTTGTGCTGAATGAATATATATAGCTAATCTCATATCAAATGTGTTCTACACTCTACATTTCTATTCGATAATTTTGACTCTTGTAAAATAAATATATTTAGTTGAAGTATTTTATAAGATTTTTATTTAGTGGATGAAGTATTTATCTAGTATTTGAACATTTTCATGTAACCTTAATACGTGAATAAATTTAGATGAAATAAGATTAGGGGATAGAGCAATGGTGGATAAAGCTGGTTCCTGCTGCTATTGTGCCAAACAGAATTGCTGCATTCAAGAGATCAAGTAGACTCTGTAGTGTACCTCTGTAGTGTCAATGCATTCTCAAGCGTCTCACAAGATGATTTTGAAATTATGCTTGGTAGCATTGTACAAGAGCTGCAAGACCATCATAACTTAATCATTGTAAGAGACTTTAGGGCATCTGCTATTGTAAGGGAAAGCAGCTGGACCAATGGTATTAACATAGTAATTAACATTACTCCACAACAATTATCTTCTTGAACGCTACTCTGCCTCTACGTTCCCAAGGAATGAAAATGTCTCAATCGTTAAATTATATTTGTTGTATATATTTTATGAAATGCATTGCAATGTTTAAAATTCTAAGTGGGGAGCAATCAGTGATTCGATTGGCATTTTACCATACTTTTATCACAACGATCAAAGAAAAAGTCGTAAGACCTGTAGAAGAGGTTTGATTACCAGAACATTAGATCGAAGATTGAGTGAGAGGTTGCCTAATTTTTTTTGTTTGGAAACATGACCATAGATGGATTCTGCAGTGATAAGGGCAGTGAACGAGTGGAAGCGTAATATTTGGAAAAAGCTGGGCAAAGAGATAAATATAGACATACAAAAAAGTCCTGGCTAGCCTGAAAAGTTCAATTTCGTCGTCTCTAAGCTCTCCTGACATGTTAGGAAAAATAATAGGTGTGAAAAGGGAACATAGCAAACTCCCCATTTGATTGGATTGAGATCAAACAACACTGCTTCCGCCTGTGGGCATACTGATGTTATGCACATTCCGCAATTGGTGAAGCATTGATGCTCACGTAGAATTCAGTAAACTTTACTGGTCAGCAATAACATTAAGAACTTTCATGTTTTTTTCGTAAGTATGGAGTAGAAAAACCCTTGTGGTCCGGCAAGGGGACCTTAAAAGGAAGAGAGAAGGGGCAATGAAGATTGAAACACAGAAGAGAGCAATGACAGCAAGTATGAATTCGCAACCCACCTCAATTTCAGTATTGTATCAAATCTCAAATTAGAATAAAGCAAGCATTTTTAGCTGAAAGTTTAATTATTTATTTTATTTTTATTTAAAACCTGCCCTGTCAGTAAGGCAGTACGGGTGTTATGCAATAGTGAGTAGCAGTGCATTCTTTACAACTCACTGCTGCATTCAGACCAATTACAGTTTTTATTTTTCAGCTGTGCACACAGCCTGCTCTTCCTTTCAGCCGACATCATCCTCTCTGGCGGTCCCCATTCCGGATGCAGGTCCCATCTCTTCTTCCCAATGAAACGTGGGTTGAACCAACGGGTTCCTTCCATCCGTATACAAAGGCCGTAGTACAGGTAGTTCTCCTTACTCATTGGTTGAGGGAGATCACTCTCCGTCAAAACGTAAAGCCCCGTCTCCCTCAACAACCTGGCCCTCAGTTCCTCAAAGGCGGTACAGACAAGGACGGTCTGCTCGGCAGTCTCCTGTACTTTGCAACTTGGGCACAGGTGATCAATGTTCTTACCATATTCAACGAGATTTGCTCGGAAACCCCCATGCCATGTGAGGAACTGTAAGACCCAGTAGTCCGGAAGAATCCATGTATATTCCATTCTTGAACTAACGGTGGGGAAGTATTTTCTTAGCGTAGCCCCTTTTGGCGTCGTCACCCACCGACGATTTAATACTTTTAACGTGTTCTCTCGAAGAATGCTCTTACATCTATTAGGGTCTTCACTGATCCTCAAACGGAGATTCACCGGTAGATCCACCAAGCCTTCATAGGAGAAGATCAATAGGGCAATTCCTGCTATGACCTATACCGCCTCATGAGACACCGATATGCTCTAATGACCCGCTGTAGAGTTATCCGCTGGAATGTTGCCAACCTTTTCTTCTGTTGGTGCGAGAAATGATGACTCCACGCAGGGGACGCATATCTCAGGATGCCCATAATGATTCCTTTATAAATATTCAACGTGACTGGGTACCTGAGACAATAAAAGGCGCTCCTAATGCAACTAAGTCTATTGAGAGCCAAGGTCACAATAATTTTTTTGCAGACAAAGTGAGGCGCAACGTTAAATTCCTCCCAATTCTTATGCCAAGGTGAGTATCAGTCTCACTTTGACTTATCGTTTCTTCTCCTATTCTGAGAATGCATGCTGCTAACTGGAAAGAAATAGCCCAAGATTACAAGTTCTATAATGAAAACTGAAAACAAAAATAGAAAAAAGTTATTTTTAGAGAAACACCCGTTTTTGGATTATAAGTGAATAGCTTTAATAGTGAAGATAAGAGAATCTAGCTGGTAATGTAATACCATAAGCATCACTGGTGGATCCAGGATTTAATTTTTGGAGGAGGGAACTTCAGCCCGAAAGATTTATTTTTCATGTATATAACGATAATTACTTTGGGGAAAAACGAAAGATACTAACTATCAGTATGAAATGGTGTTTAAGTTATTCTTGAAATCCTATTAAATGTAATTACATGAACAATAATACTTTAAGAGATAATTTTTTACCATAAACATGGTTACATTTTACTATTTTTTTTGGGAAGGGGGAGTAACAGCCCTCCTCCACCCGTTGATCCACTTGTGATGCGCACCAACTCTCATATTTGAGGTATAGGTAGGCACTGGTATAGGTATTTGAGGCACTGGTTACAGGTAACAAACATGGATACTCAATATAATCTCAATTATTTTTTATTGATGTTTTAGTATGACCCAGCGATACGCTAAAGCTTTTGTAACTAAATATTTATGCTCAGTATTTCAGTAGTTTCCGATTTAATCCATTATTGCAAATTCATTCCTATCGTTTATTTTTATCATACTATAATTATTACACGATTTTCAAGTTCAAACAAATTTAATCAAACGTTAGTTACAGTTGTTACTTAATTGTTGAATTAAAATATTTCTTTTTCCAATTCTCTGAATGAGCGCAGTGTTTCTTTTTGAATTCGTTTCCACCATTAACTCAATAATTAAAAAGTTAGACTTCTTTTTTCTCATCCATTATTCTTCAAATAAGTAAGTTAAGCTACTTACTACAATCACGTTTTTGTTCCTTTGAATAAAATGACTCATTCTTTTTCAACAGATTTATTCGTTTTGAACGAACAACAGAAGTTAAATATTAGAAATATTAGAATTTTAAGAAAAAATTTATTAGAAGAATGTATTTTTTTTCTTAAACCTAATTCCAGCAGTGAATAGCGTCTAAAAAAAAATAAGAAAAATCTGAATTATTGTACTTATAAGCTCGTGTTCTGTTTTCATTATTTATCTTATTTTTATGCTCCATAGAGATAAAACAAATATTGAGATTAGGATAAACAGTATAAATTTTTATTTTGAACTGTTTAGAAGTAACAGAAATGAAAAAAACAAACAATGTTTATGAACAAAGACTGTTTATTTTAATAGATTAAATTCCTAGTAACTTCCCTCATCTTCCCCCACCTTGATTACGGCTGCGTGGTGTACGGTGGCCTCTCGGCAGATCTCGGGGAGAGACTGAAAAGAATTATGAATGCCTTCGTAAGATTTGTCACAGGGGCCCTGAGGTATTCCCGGGTTTTGCACCACTATGCTGAATTAGGATGGCTCTTCCCTTCCTTCCGAAGACAATATTTCCTAGGCACATTCCTTTACCAAATAATCAATAGTCATCGTCCGTCCTACGCATACAATCTCCTACAATTCAAATCATCTATCCACACCCTCTCCTTCTGACCTTTACACTCCTTTCCACAGATCTGCATCATTTAAACATTCCTTCGTTGTCCGTTCCACCGCATTCTGGAATTCCATCCCACTAAAAATCCGCCATGCATCATCCTTATCCACCTTTAAAACCCTCTTATTCCAATTCCTCTTCACAATCCAATCAGACGCTGGTTAAATACATACTATGTTATAAGGATTTAATTTTCTTTAGACATTATTTTTTTCTCTTATTTTTTATTGTTTTATTCTGTGTTGAACGTGAATTTTCATCACCACTCACTAAGCATTGTGAGTAGATAAAATTTGTTTTCCTTAAGTTCTAATTTGTTATTCATGGAATGTATTTCAGTGAAATGTATTTTATTTCTAATTATCTTCAACATACTTCTCGCTATGTGTATATATATACTTTATTTTATTTTCTCTTCTCCTAATCTTTACGCATAATCACTTAAATATCTTAGGGAACATATGTATATCATTATTTGTTTTTTTATATATTTTTTTGTTTTAGTTTTTACAATTTCTTTCCCTACATATTAACAGTTATTATTATTTTTTTAAATTTTTATATTCCATCACTACATTGCTTTACCTATAAAATAGATTGTACTTTCCTTTATAATTTCATTCAGTGATTATTATGCAATTATTTTAGCTCCAATATTGTAGTACTGAACCCCTATTACCAAACTGTCCTCGTTAATTTATCCTAAGAGCTTAATTAATACTTAATGTATTACATGTATTTTGTCATTATTCATTGTAATAAGTCTTTTGACCAGATTTGTAGTTAATATATATGAACAATACTGCTATTCTAAAGGGATCTAGTCCCAGAATAAAGATGATTTTTCTATTTCTATTTCTATTTCTAAACTGGGGTGCGAAAATAATCTACTCTAGTTTTCTTTTTTTTTACTTTATTTCACTTCACGACACAGAGCTGTATGAATCAATGGAAGGAGTAATAGTAAACGGAAAAATGAAGAAATAAGGTAACTGGCGATGTGCGGGAGTTACTGATTACGGACCGAGACCACCTGGTTATTTGGGATGATGCCTCCAAAATGGAAAAATAATCTTTTTTAACAATAAGCATAATGTACTCTTTTTATAACGCATGTATTTCAGCTACTGAATATAAGCTCGTGTCATAAAAATATAAATAAAATAAAAGCATTGTTGTTTCTGTAATTCATTTTTTATATTATTATTTTTTTTTTTAAAGGCCTTCAAAAACAACAACGTTATTTTTTATGGTTACCTATTAACATTGTTATGTCTATGTATAAACATAGACATAACAATGTATGTAGATATACATAACTATGTAATAACATAGTAAATATAAATTTACTCTCAACAAATAGTCTCTGGTTCAGAATAATATCGAGTTGAATAAAAACGGACTTTTTGAAAGGATTAATTTATTTATCATTATGCCCCTAGGCATTGCCTTTGTTGCATGGCGGTATGTATTCCTTAGCTGATGATGTCATAATAAAATTGTAAAAAACGGAAGTGGACAAAAAAAATGATCTAACTAAGTAAAATTATTAATGGAAATAGCGAGAAATTAAAGAAATATTAGTTTTCAGAATTGTCATAACACGTTTTGAAACTATAATGAACAAATGATAAATAAATTGTTAAATATCTTACTTAAATCTAGGAGATTGTATTAACCAAATCTTAAATGTGAAAAGTTGGCTCATAAAAGTTGAGCGACTCGACCCGCTTGGTCAAATTCATGCTCAAAGTTTATAACACAATAACAAACTTTTAGCGATAACTAACTTCAAAAGCTCTTTAAATTAATATTTAAACGATTGTTTTTTTATTTAATAAGTTTGTAAATAATCTGATTTGCATATGCAACGGTCCATAATTGTTGATGTAACATTCGTTAATTTTCAAGCCAAAAGTTGCCTTAATGACATATTAGAAATAAAACCTACTCACAGAGGTTTAATTTCCGTTAACCATTCTTGAACGCATGCTCCCTTCCCTAGATCGATAAAGTGATCTCCAAGCATCCACTATCGACGCCTGTAACCATGACGTCTGCAAGGACATCCAATTCCAATATTCAATTAACTTCCAAGCAGCTTAGGAGCCTTTCCTCTTCTTTGAGTTCAACAAACCAAATGCATCTTCATCGAGAATAAGTTGGTGCAGGGATATGAGTGTAAATGATTTTTATTTCTTCGTGACATAAACTTGGTGATCAGTAGAACAATTTTTTAACGATATTTTCCTAACTTCGATGTTTTTACGATATAGGTTAAACATATCATATTTTTGTTAATCTTTATTTCAGACGCGATTTTGACTTGGGCTAACAGATAATATATTATAGGAGACTCTCCTGAGGCACATTCAGCCAGGACACCTGACTCATTATTGAGCTGAGGGATAAATCTGGCGGTTGCGTTTGGTTGATGACCACATCATCTGGTATTAAAAATCGTTGTTCAAGAAATGGTACTTCCTTAGTGAACGTTTCATGAATTTTAGCGGTACAAGTTTATTGTTTTCATTTTTTCCATTTCTAGAGACATCATCTTCTACTTCTTTTAGAACAAGAGGAACCCGATGAGAATATAAAAAAATATTTTGGTTGAACAGATATTTAAATTAATCCATATTGTATATGATCGTAACTAGAATAATTTTGAAATATAATTTTTTTGTTATGTGCTTAATTTACTGGAATTGAAAATCTGTTGGAAAGGAATTGAGCTACCTTTCGTGATTCCACGTCTTGCTCAGCAGTTGTCGGAACACCGTAGGACATAAGGAGTTTATGACCTCCCATAACGCATGGGGCTTGCCGCGTTATTTTTCTACCTCCTGCCTCATTACAAAGATCTGATCAACGCTTTCCATTTCTCTTACGGAAAAGATACTATACAAGGATATTTTCTGAAAATGAATAAACGGCCTTTTTACTAATTTATTGTAGTGTATTTTCGACGAATTTTCTAAAAGTTATACTCCTCGGTAATTTTCATATACATCTCTGTATCCTTTAGTTATTTCAATAGATGTCTTGTTTTTGATGTGGGAAAAAAAGCCGATGACGCAATAATTAATTAATGATGATAATTATCAAATCTTGTAGATATGAGGCGATATATGTTTGCCTTCGATTTCGGGACAGGTTGAAATAGGGGAGTAGCAAATTAAAGCAAAGAGACGGGACGGTATCGAACGGTAGAGCTAAGACGACAGTACAATAGGAGAGACACTCATTTCATTAGTCCCTCCACTCAGCCTCCAACTAAGCAGCACTAGGGCTAATTCATTTCACCTAATTCATAGGCCAGCTCTCTCTGTCTCAGCTTCTTTTCACCACTGTCGGGGTAGTCTCAGTAGTCAAGCATAATTCGTGAAAGGGTAACCAAGGTTTTCTTTGTAAGTCCAGACTTAAAGTAAAGAAACTTCCTATATTCTCTGTAGCATTTCTTACCTGAACTCATAGATAGAGCTGGTAGTATTTTTTTTGATATGAGGTTTTTCCTCATAATAGTCTACAAAAACACTTTTTACTTATTAATTAGAATTATGTAAAATCTGATTTTATGGTTCAGTTAAATTGTTAAGAAAGCTCACTACCTTGTTCCAAAATTCTTTCGTACTAGTAGCGAAATGTTCAGCCAAAAAAATCGAAAGTGCTGTTACCGCCGGTTGAAATTTTAAAAAAAAAAATATATATATATATATATATATATATATATATATATATATACACACACACACCTAAGGCTCTTTCTTGCAATAGGTAATCAAAGTTAAGCAACGCCGAGCGTGGCTAGCACTTGGATGTGTGACCGTCCACCAACGAAAGACACGCTGCCCGAGATTCTTCCCCTTCCGGGTATGTGAGTACCGTCAGGCTACTGGAGGCAACTCACACCGACCGGGCGTAGGATATATGACCCTACCTCGTACTTTAAATCGGGAATCGGCGACCACACTCGCGGTCAAAGATCTTCATGGTCTGTAGCGCCAAAAGAAAAAAAAAAAATGTAACAATTAGGATTGTAAAAAATATCATTGTCATTAAATTTGGCGTGATAAATCAACACTGGACCGGGGTAGCGTCTAAAAGCTTCCGCCAGTTGGTATGGTCCTGAGATGCAGCTGTCCAGTTCTGGATTTGTAGGAGGCCTCTTGCATCCACAGACACTCAACGTGTCTGTCAACGTGTCAACACAAACCAGGTGTCTGTCAAAACACAAACCACCTTGGCCTAGGTCTTCTTTTCTTGTCCTGGGCAGTTCCTCCGACATCAGTCCTCTCTGTAGTCAGGTAATCCCGAAACCGTTTAAACGAGGACCAGGCCAGCCCAGCATAACCTTCCAATCTTAATGAACATGACCACATCCATCCCGTAGAACTCCTCAAGTTCCAGATTTTCCTTTCTGCGCCATTAAGTTATAAGTTATTAAGAAAAAATAATAGTCATCTACCCCAGTCCTTATATCTAATTCTCCGATCCTACCTCTCTGACCGCTCCTTTCAAGTTTGCCATAGTACAGAATCCTCCAACTGTCATTCAATTGAGACGGGGGTTCATTAAGGCAGCGTCTCGTTTTCTACATTACGTTTACCGCTGATATTCCTACTCATTCCGAAACCCTCCTGGCAACATTTGCTGACACAGCCATCCTATCTTCCAATCCAGATTCTGAAACAGCATCCTTAAACCTTCAAAGTCACCTCTCTGTTATTGAACACTGGTGATAAGTGGCAAATCCAAACATATTACTTTTACCCTTCGACGCAATACCTATCCACCAGTATACTTCAACTCCATACCACTTCCTCTCTTCGACACAGTCCGGTTTCTTGGCTTTCCCTTAAATAAAAGACTAACATGGGACCCACATACTAGACTTAAAAGACAACAATTTAACAGACGATACGGCCAACTATACCGACCAACAAAAAATCTAAAATTTCCATTGAAAACATGTTACCGATCTACAAGAAAATCCAGAAACCTATCTGGATCTACGAAATAGAACTGTCGGAGACAGCAAAACTTCTAACATCAAACGTATTCAATCCTTCCAGTCTAAAGTTCTTCGATCAACATTCAATGCCCCTTCTATGTATGTAAGTGTTAAAGTATTTATTTTTTTTTTAAATAACTTAGTTCAAATCAATTTCTCACACTTTTCAACAAACTTGTATCATTCTTTATCAGAAATGTGTGAATAAATAAAAACGAGAAATGAAAATTTTACTTCGTTTTCATTTCGGAATATTTTTTTTTTTAAATATTAAGAACAGAAACGTAGTGTTGTAAAACTGAATTTTTTTAAGTTCACTGACAACATATCGAATGACTCTATCTAAAAGTTGACGTTTTGCATAACCCAACATATTCAAAATTTTACTATACATTTCAGTAGTAAACTGGTCTGATTACAACTAAAATGTAAAATTTTATTTCTCGGATTTGATGATTTACAGCAAAAAAAAATGGGATAAGATGCTGGACATTTAGAGAAATGTATAGAAGGTAGTGGAAGTTATTTTGATAAAAAATTATATCGCTTAATTTTGTTTTTATGTCTGCAATTGACGTTACAGTCGCTCCATCCCAATGCATATGAACTCATAAATTTCTTGTGATGATGGTTTTATATTTCATTATTACCTAAATTCTAAGTTAATTACCTGCGTTCCTGATCAGCGGAGCTCAGGCTGGCCTGCTGAACAAGGTTGGAACCGTCTCTTCGTTCCACCCTCGAAAGACGCTGTTTGAGTTTGGTCTGCTGGCTAAGGTATTCTGCTTGAAGTCTAGCCAATCGTGTTTGCAAATTACCGACAAGTCGATCTGGAAAAAAATTAATATCTATAAAGCTTCTACTTAAAATAAGAATAATTCAAGTCACAATATACTATATGAGTTAAACGATCGCATTACTTTGGCATTTTTTTGCAAGAAAAATATCTAAGTCTGAAGGATATATGAACGAACTTAGTATTCATAAGTTTGATATTAAGATATTTAACATTAGATTAAATGTTGTCTAGGTATATATTGTTTAACATATAAACCATGAAAACCGTATTGAATGTATTACGAAGTATGAAATGACAGTGCTATTTTGGAAAAAGACTCTCACAACTTTAAAATATTTATATATCGTAATCATAATAATCTTTTTCCAGAAGGCTTTTGAAAACAAAAATCGAAGTCCATTATTTTTTAAAAATAGAACTTAGCTTAGTCTAACAGCTTAAAAGCTTCCTTGATATGGTCCTAACAAAGACAAATTCTTCTTGGATTTAAAGAGAATGTATTCTAGTTTACTGTGATTAAAAATAGACAAATGTACAATTAAAAATAGAATAAATAATCAGATTTATAAACAAATAAAAATTGTTCTTCTGTTTATTTATTTTTACAACAAAGCCTAGACATTCAAATGACAAATTGTTCTATGACCTACAATTGTATAAATTAAGCCAAGAAACTATATTTTTACATTTCCCTCGATCCTATCACCAATAAATTAATAGGACTTTTTGTGAAGAGAATGTTTTTCAAATTTATTTTCATCTAGGGTTTGTTATTCGCTAAAATATTTTATCGAGATTAGAACGTGTAACTAGTTTCGAAACGAAAATTTTTCTTCTTTTTAACAATATATCGGCTAATTTGGCTGGATTAACATTGTTAGTGCGAAAATAGTTCCAAATTTCCTCCTTATGGCGAGTGGTGGGGGCAGATCAGAAGAACTAAAAGATAACACCGTGCGAGCGACGGTGCACTCAGCATCATTCCAGCACCAGTATCCACAGAGAACAGATGCTCTGAGGGCGCCCTCAGGTAAAAAGATGTTTTAAGTTGGCATAAAAATGGTAAGCTATTTTTGCACAATCAGTATAACCTACCAATTCATTAAAATACAGTACACTGCATAAAAGCAGAATGTTGCCTATTAGGAGCTCATGAGAGTTGTTTGCCTTGCCTTAATTTGAAATTTGAAAAGTTCCCTTAACAAACATGGTTGAAGATCAAAGAAATCCTCTCCCTGCCACTCAACCACTACTATGGTCGATTTCCCTACGATACAAAATTTCCAGTTCAATTTCAATTTTAATGATTAAATTTATTTGATCATGTAATAAAATCCTAAATAAATGTAAGAAAATCGTGCTAAAAAAAAATCGATGAGGGATGGAATACAACAGTTGAATGTACTATAATTAATTTTTTTCATTATTTAAATTTAAATATCCAAAATAAATATTTTATATTATTAATAGCTAGCTGATTAAAATGTTAACAAGTTTTGGATGAAATCAAATAATCAAAATATGTTCTGTAGTTTTAATATAATTCTTCTACGAAATATTTTTAAATGGATTCTCTATAAAAGTCTAGACTCTGAAAGGAATCTACTCCAGATAAACATAGACATCGCTTCCACAATTTTAAGTACTAAGCTTTATAAAAACGTCATAAATCTTGAAAAGAAATAAGCCTCGTGAAGGGATAACCAATTTTAAAATAAAAATCGGAAAGTAATGATTTTACTGTATCTAAAATTCAAGAAAGCCCCTTCCTTCTCAACCAACCCTATAATCTATTAAAAATTGATAAGAATTTAAAAGAATATATATGTATAGAGAGAGGAAAAAGATAAACAATCTAATATGTTGGAATAATGAGAAATTTCAAATTCCTAAAAAAGTGACTAGTTAACAAAAAAAGTGATATTATTTTGTTTTTCTTTGCTCTTATAAAATAATTGAAGTACAACCTAAATTTGAATTCATTAGAACCATAAAGCATTTGCTTTTTCTTTCGGTTAGATAGAAAAAGGGATATTGATTTGTTAATTAGAAAATTAAAAAACAACAAACCCTGTTGTTTTGCCCTCTCACGGAGGCATGTAAGAGGGGAGGAATTTTTTTCTTCAAATGTTTCATTTTTAAACATATCAAAATACAAAAACAAATGAAAAAAAGCTTTTTTGTTTTAGTATGCATACATTGAATTAAAATGTTTGTATTAAGTCATTTGTCCTTGGTTCTTGAAACGATTGCTGAACGTTGTCCCAACCCTCCATGGATTCATGTGTACACCGATGGGTCTGCCGAACTAGAAACACACAATGAAGGGCAGGTGCACACTCACAACTGTTTCGAAACCTGTTGGGAAACGGGCCTCAAATTTCGACAACGAAATAAGGACAATTTTATTGGCTCTAAGCTTTGTCACACTTAGATGCCAAAAATATGGTATTCTTTGTGGATTCAAAGCGGCTATTCTTGTTGTGCCACGGCCCAATGACTCAATTGCTCAGGATATTCTTAAGTGCCAAAATATCACAGAGGAACTAGGAAGTTCTCCAAAGAGCAGAGGTATTCTTTCAATGGATACCAAGTCACTGTGGTCTCCATGGAAACGAAATGGCTGATATACTCGCCAAGGAAGGCTCCACATTGAACCAGCCAGAAAATGGAATATCATATCTTGGAGGCAAAAAAATAAATAAATTAGGCAAGCGAGCCTCTACCGCTGAAATCCGTTAAAAGCTGTATTGTGGAGAAGCAATGAGTCAAATTGTTCAATGAAGTAGATCGAGTTCCCATGGACCTGCCGAGAAAAGAAGCTGTGGCAGAGTTCCGGATGATAATAGGCCACGATTATCTTGGAAAACACATGAGTAGAAAAGGAGTTGCAGAGTCCCCACGTTGCAACCTATGTAATTCGGGAGCTTATATGGACGCAACGCATTTAGGAGTATGCTCGGGCTTGGTGAACATAAAATATGTGTCGTCCAAATCGGAATGGTAATGGGCTGCAAGATCTCTAATGGCGGAAGTCGATAAAGAAAGGAATAATTAAAAAAATAATGTATTTAGTGATTTAATTGTTGTTTACATAATTATAGTTCTCATCTTCAATTATCATCCGAAGCTCAGAAAAATTATTTTTTTTCTCAGCTTGCATTTTATTTTTCAACTATTAAAATATAACTACATTCAATATATACATATATATTGCATTGCTTTGTCCTTACACTGCCCTATGGTATTTTAAGGAAAGAGTTAGAAAAGGAATTATTATTATTATTATTTTGTAAATGAACTATTAAATCTTAAAAAAAATATTAATAAAAAACCAAAAACAATATTGCGAGATGAAATAATTCAGAAGTTGCATAACCTCATAATTATGTTATGAAAAAAATAAAACTTTATTTGCGTATTATTCAACTACACACAAAATCATTTAGGAGGCAATTTAGTTCTCTACAAAAGAAAAAACTAAATCGGACCAATATTAGCAAAATATGTAGTTTATTTGGCTTAGTACCCATGTTTTCAGAAATCTTTTGCGCAGGTTCCCAAGGAAACTCATTTATTTTTAATTTTTTTAATTTTAAGTATAAAATTATATATACCCACTCCTTAGAATAATGCATTAAATTGGCCATAAGGCTAAGCTTAAAAAATAATAAATAAGACGCTGCCCAAGGGCAGTGTAAGGACAAAGCTTGCTGAATACTTACGTGCATGTTGTAAAAATATATGTAAAAAAAATAAATAAAATAAAATAGTGAAGGATAAGAAAAAAAATTAAAATTAAATAAATAAGATGCATATGGTCTATGCAATACAAGCATTCCATTCCATAAAGGTAAAATAAGAAAAAATTCAATAAGAATATGAGGAGGGGAAAAAAAGAAATAAAATAAATAAGAAATATAAAGAAAACCATAGTTGACGATTATTGTGGAAACAAAAAATATTGGTTTTTGTATTCAAAGCAGTAATAAAGAAAATTCTTGTGTGAAAACACTATATTTCCGATGATTAATTTGGTTATATTTTATTAGCAATAACACCTTATTATACCTGAAATCAATCCATAATCTTATTATGATGGGATTTTTAACGGAATAATGAAGTGATGCCCTAATTTTGATTTGGAGGATAGTCTATACTTTTATACCTTTCAACAATCGCATTCAAAAGGTACGAAGATGACCCTTTCGAGAAATTAAAAATAAAAGGGCTTTGACAAAAAACGGTCTCACCCTCTCATGAATACATCAAATAAAGGATGAGAATAAAAAAAAAAAAAAAAACACCGAGCCTTTGGCAAATCAAAGGAAGACTTCCTGTCACACTACACGAAGATCAAATGGGAAGAGTAGCGTTGCGTGGGATGGGTATATTGGAGTGCCATATCGTTTTTTTCTTTTTCCATTTAGCTTTAATAACATTAATTAATATTAATGGGCATTTGTTTATTAAACATTTATTGTATGGTAATATTTCAATAACAGAGCTATTCAAAAAGGTCAACCATCTGAATGAGGTTTTATTTCTGTTATATTCCTCCTCGAGGCCAACGTTTGGTTTTCTTTCTTTCATAGTAAACTATAAAAAAATTTTTTTTTGTTTTTATCTGTCTTTCAAATACTGGTAAAGAATAAAGTATAGATTTCAGATGGAGAAATCCAATAACTTTTTACCTCTGTCACATACTTTTCAGTGACTCCCTAGCTTAGTTGTGAAATATCTTCCAATTAGTCGTCACTAAGGAAAATTTTTACCAGAGAGGTGATCGATTTACACTGGTAGGAAGCAAAAATGATTAGTATTTTTTGTTTCCCTCCTTAACTTCTATAAATACTGTTAGAGTTCAACTGGTAAGACTAATGTTTTGCATTATAATTAGTATAGCACTTCATAACCGCTTTACACTTAGTAGAATAGAAATATCAACTTTATTCTCGGGCAAAGTCCCTCAAGAATCACAATATTCTTTACACAAATTAGCATTACATCTGGCCAAAAGATGTATTACATAAAATAATATTATACATAGCTCAACAGCATATTAATGAAAGCAGGTAAGCAATAGGATAACAATTTTGCAATTTGTGAAGCTTATACGTTGATAAAAAGTGGTTAGATTATCACTTTCAATGTAGTCACTCCATAGTCTCAATTACTATGAACTTAAACATATTAAACTAGGGATCTTTTCTGGGTATATACAGACCGGTTTCAGGTCAACGAAAAAAAATCTCGAATACACCATGATTTTATAAAAAGAAAACAGCTGTTTAGCTGCTTGAAATCCAACTTCAAATGTTCACTACAAAGACCAATTCCACCTGCCTTACAATAAAATGTTGTATAGCAAACTATGAAGTATTTAGAACAACCTAAGTTAAGCATTTCTATTCAGCAAAAGACGCAACACCGGTTTTTTTGCGGAATATCGGACCATAGTTTATATCAACTTTTTTTGTAGCTCCTAAGATCTAGTATCACCAATATTTTTTTTAATTAAGGAACTCCTTGTGTGTACGCACTGTAGGTTGGGAGGAAATAATTTGTTAATAAGGAAACAGGAAAATAATTTGAAAAAATCTAGTGTTGAATGGTAGGTCTACTTAAGACACTATCTAGAGTATATTAAAAAATAATGAAATGTTTACCAGCGAAGCTGAGGGTAACAGCAATGGGGAATAATTTGAATAAAACGGGGAGGAATAAAATTATATCCTATACCACATGATTCGAGTGCCGATGACAGGCCGTGTCGAGTGATCTCAGCAAGTTTTCCAATAAAAGTCATCCGGGATCTAGTGGCACTGAGCTATATGCCTCCAGGATCTACCGGGTATCTTACAACATCTACCTACCCCACATTCATTCGGTTATAGGTCTTTGACATGGCAAAAGAATAAAAAAAAAAAATGTAATAACGAAAACTCTTGACAAAAACATCCTAATTTCTTAAGGGAGATAACAAATAAAAATAAAATAAATACTATCAGAAGTCTATAATAAATATTTTGAAGATGTTTAGTCAGAAACAGAAGCTTTGCATAGCTGTCGATATAATGCTTTACACCATTACTTCCAGGACGATTCAATGTACATTTACTCGTAAATGATTCACTGTTAAGGGCGAAAAGTGTTGTTCATGTTGCTTTATTGATGAATTCTCTCTACTAGAGAACAGATTTTAGATAAACCTTATATATTTTGTTTAAAAAATAATGGAAATGAGGTAAATATAGAACAAATGGATTGTCTAAGCAACTGGTGTGAATTTTCATGTTTGGTGTTAATTTAGATGAAAAATAGGTAAAAATTGTAAATTTTATCGAAAATTGTTGGAAATGGGATAAAAATACAAAAATATGTTCAATTATAAGATAAATATACTATCAAAATGTTTATGTAACCGATTGAAATAAGATAAATATACTTAAAATTGTAAAGTAAACCAAAAAATAAGTTGAAATATGAGATAAATATTGTCTAACTAACTGATGTATATGGTTTAAAACGGTAACGTAAAGAGTGAATTTGTTAAAAGTAAGTAGAATGAGATTGAAAACGTGTGATTTTTTTTTGTTTGATGTTAATCTAGAAGAAAAATAAAATAAATATAGGTAAAAATGGCAAATTTTATATTATACGTTGCAAATTAAATTCGTCACCACTGGTCAAAATTGGTAATGTCTTATGAAACATCGAATTCCTGAGTGTGAGATGCAGTAGAAAAAGGAAAAGTCTCTTAGAACCTATTCCCTTGTCCAACGAAAAATGTACATCTATCTTAATCTCGGTTCTGATATAGTAACTTATTAGTTATTATCACTAAGAGTTTAGTACGGTGAGCCTTGGCTGACATTATGAGGTTGTAAGGGATCATATTTCTTTACTTAGTTTTCTTCAGATGGTGATTCGTTTATGTATCTAAATGAATATAATATAAATAAAATATTTAGTTATTTTGTTAAAAATAAAGTATATACCTATTCTTTCGACTTTTTCTTTGAGGGTTTCGTTTTCTTCTTGAGCCTTCTTGAAAGCATCTTCATCAAGGAGTCCATCTTTACGCAGTATCTGACATCCGCGTTCCATTAGACTCTGCTTAGCTTCCGGGTAATCTGCAAGCGCTTTCCAAAGATCTCTCTTGTCCAGACAGAAGAGGTCTGAGTACCTGAAAACGAAATAATTTAAAAATTAAACTATTTTTCATTAAGGGTCAGTTCACAGTAATTGCCATATATTTGTATACGAGGTTTCCATCATCTTTGTATTTAAATGAATACATAAAATGAAAGGACTTACCCAAGGGAGCGGACGTTGGCTGTCCTCCTGTTGCCAGTCTTGTTGCCCGCTATGTCCAGGACGGAGACCTCTCCGAAGACGGAGCCAGCCCCGAGGGTCGCGAGTACCGTCTTCTCGTCGTCGGCTACGACGGATAATCGGCCACGCTTTACGATGTACATTTCCTTGCCGACGTCTCCTTTCCGGCATATGTAATCACCAGGACTAAAAACCTGTATAATAATAAAATATTCAAGTCAATAAATGGATAAAACAACCTTTTTGAAATTACCACAAACAATTTTAATGCGCGTGTGAAACATACAAAAGCATTCGAAAGATCTTTTCCGTCCCATTTGTTATACATGTACCGCCATTTCCACTGGAAGAGGATGAGCCCAAAGCCTTTTGAGAGAGATAATCTAGAGAGAATCCTTATCCTGTTTCGTTGATACAATCGCCCTGTAATGTTACTGGGGTTCAGTAAGAGGCTTACTGGGGTCGGATGATTACAAAACGATTGACGTAATCACCATGTTACGTTTCTCTTCTTTTTTCAACACCTTTTTATCCGTTTAAAAAACAGTGAAACATTTTCTGAATAATATGGAGCACATTACCTTGCTATGACACTATGTAACTGTTTAAATAATATTATTCCAATTAATTATCTGTAAATCTGTATGACATTTTAGGCTACTCCTAAGGAGCCTCGAATCCAACAGGAAGGTTAAGTTGGATAACGCAATCTTTGTTACAGCTGAGTTAAAAAATTATTTAGTCAACTCCATCTTTCGAGAAACTTAAAAGTTATAATTTGTAAAATCTATATCCTTTCAATCTAGGGAGTATGTAGCCAGCGATTAGCGGTATCGGAATCCAATATTTAGGTCTGCTAAGCCATTTTATTATTATAAAAAACAGGCTTGTAAACCACATCAAGTTTAAACATTTATTTCCAATAATTTAAAAATCTCTATTACATAATATAAAATGGAATTTTATGTAACTTTTAAACAAATTATGTTTAATGCCTGCCACGATTCACAACCATTATACTCCTAATAATTACATTAATTTGTTTTGGTAAATATGGATCATTTGTACACTAATCCCCAACTTACCTACAACTTTGGACTAAACGGATTTTCTGTTTTGTCTATCGTTTTTGAAATATACACCTATCAATATATACGTTAAACTTGATACGGAATAGTAATTTTATATTGAACTCCCAACTTTTCTAAAATGTTGAGCTGAATCGGCGATTCGCTTTTGTATAAATCTATTATAATGGATCCAGGAGTCATTGATTATGGTATTAATCAGGAAACAATCGAACCACAAGCAATGATTGATGACAGGTTATGGATGCATTGCTCCGCATTTAACTTGTGATGATTGTTTCGAAATTGGTCCAAATATAAGATGTTTAAGAAGTGGCCAGGAAACCATAAAACAAACAATAAATAAGAATAAAAAATAAAGCGCATAAGGATGGAATAATCAGGAAGTTGTTAGTGAAAATACTAGGATTATTAATTTGAATTGAGAATTTCTATTGTAAAACAGTCGTGCACATTTGAAGTGAAATAGAAGTAGGGGGCACGGTGGCCGACTGGCCTAACGCATGTGCATAACACCGTGCACTCTTACGGCTGCCAAACACAATAACTTTCCTCTGCTCTACTTTATTAACATGCATTTATAAAAGCTAATAAAATACATTTTTAAATAAATATTATTAAATATTCAGAGACCAGAGAGTGAGGAAAAAAAGTGAATGCCATTGCAGGAGTGAAATATTTGAAGCAGAATACACTGGTATAAGGTAAATAGAGTAACATAATCAACAGTATAAGGCAGGCCTGCAACAACTGTAGGATGCAATCTCAAAGATGAAACTTGGCAAGTTTGCAGGGCTCTTTGAAAGAACTCCCGAGATGGTGCTTTCTAAGAGCAGCAAAAGTAAAGAAATGTTTCTACATCTGTTAAACATGATATGGCATAAGAAAAGAATACCAAATTACTGGGAGATAGCTGTGGTTGTGCCTATATACAAGAAAGGAGGTAATAGAGAATGAAATAATCATCGAGGCATATCTCTGCTCAGTGTGCCAAGCAAGTGGATTTTGAAACTTCGTGGATTTTGAAAAGGTATTTGGCATAGTCAAAAGGAAGGGTATAGAGGGAGTTCTGTCTTTGTTGGGTCTGTCTGCAAGATCTTGGCTCTTAGGAGTCTCTATCAAAAGACAAGAAATATTGTAAGGACTGGTAACCACACCTCCAAGAAGTTTGAGACGACACAAGAAGTACGTCGGGGATGGAGCCTAAGTCCTCAACCTTGCGTATTGATTCTGAGGAGCGTTATACTCAGATTAAGGCGCTTTCAACTAGGACATGTGAACCTACAGCCTACACAATGCTCGCTGTGCCAATGATCTTGTCATATTCGCTGCGGATGACCTATAATCACAGGCGCAGACTTCAATAGGAAGCGAAGGAGGGAAGGAGGGAAGAAGGGAAGGAGGGAAGACGTCAATAGGAATCGTCCCCCCCCCCAATAAAAACATAGAGGTGGCGAGAATATCATTTCCGTACTCCAATATTTCGCATAACAAAAATTAAAAATAAATAAAATCAAAATCAATAACATTTAATCTACATGAATGAATAAAGTATGTAAACTAAAATCAATTGAGAAAGGGAATAGAAAAAGTCGACTGGATCACTAAGTCAAGACTGTTATTGAAATTTTAGTTTATAATTAAAGATAAAGATATGTAGTGACATAATCTAGGATTTTATGATTCATTCATGTGCAATTTTTGCGTGGATATTTTATCTTATTTCCCGCGGCAAATTTGAAGCACCGGAGAATTGAAAGTCAATATCCTTATAATTCAAATACGTAATATCTAATGGCTTTGTTAACCTATTTTCAACTATACCCGGGTGCAAAAATAAATAATGTATATAAATAGACACGATAATTATGTTGATTAAGTTAATTATCATCCATAATTTTTACACATAATAAAAACGCTGAAGACTTATTTTGGGATCCATCGCCTCCCCAACCAGAATGGAAATTCTGCGCCTATGCCTACAATACAATGTAAATATCATGCAGGAAGATCTGTCCAGCACCAACATCGATATTAATCCAGAAAAAACAAAATGTATGAGAATAGGAAGGCTGCCACCGAGCGATGAGAATATTGAGGTTGAAAGATCTGATCTTTGAACAGTAGCAGAATTTCCAATATTTAGGTGCCTGAATACACGAAAGTGGCTATATCGATGGAGAGGTGTCGCAAAGATTAGGAGCTACTGTATGAAAGTTCCACTCAATTCGGAAAGGTTTTCTCAACAGAATAAAGGTGACGAAGAAAACCAAGTTATCTGTTAACAAGGTATCATTCTTACACACAATTTCTTAATCCTCGGAGTCATGGACCTTAACAAAAAAGGCAGATCCAGAAGATGGAGATGATGTACATTTACATGAGAAATTTGAAGAGGAGGTCAGGAGAGTTCGGGTCTGAAACACAACAATAAGGCCAAACCTCGATTGTACAGCCAGTTGAAACCACACTTAAGGAGAATAAATTGAGATAGTTTAGGCACCTCCTTAGGATCAGTATGCACAGAACAGCCAGAGTAAAGTATGAAACAGGAGTGGAGGGAAGAAGTCAAAGAGGAAGAAGGAAGTCACCTGGGAGGATGGCGTGCGATAAGCGAGGGCTGCACTGGAATTGGAAGAGCGAGCTGGTACCAGAGGGCTTTAGAGACGACACCCCCACACTGCGTACCAGTAGAGAGGGATTGGAGTATAATCATGATAAGGCAGGCAGTGACGGCCATGCAGTAGCCATGTCTCTATCCTCGTGATGTGGCACCATTTTGCTTTAACCAAAATTATCTTTTAAATAAGCATTAGAAAAATCCTGAACTTTTTGAATTATTATTATAATAATATTTTTATCGACGAATAAAATTTGAAAATTCATGCAAATACCCAATCAGGATGGAAATACCTTGAACAACAATTAACAACAGATCCCTCATAGATAAGATCACTCAATTTTTCATAATACATTGTCTCAGAAGAGGCGGAACAACTTTTATTTTTACTACTTAAAACTTAAATAAGTTAAAGAGAAAGGAAAATTAAGGAGAATAAATGAAGTAAATGATGGGACTTCATAGTTGTGTATTTTAATATTAAGAATTCACATCGTCCATTCAAGTCAATGAACAGGAATGGCGGGGGAATCCACAGATAGTTGACATCAAAATGGTAATACAATTAATTGACAAGGCAAGACTACAACAATTACTCGAAACTACGCCCCCATCATTAATCAGAAAATTGATACTATCTGTTTGATCTCCTTGGAAATCCAATTAGTCTTCTGATATTAAACTGCCTTAATGTTTGGCCAATAAATATCAATAAACATTTCCTCAACCGCTTTAATATTAATTACGGTATCATTAAACTTAATTTATCATTAATTAAATTTAATCGGATTGAATAAACACTGGGTTACTTAAATGAAATAGGTAATTCAAAGCATTATTTTATATATGGTTATCCGTAAGTAGAGAGAAATTTTTAAAGAACCGGTAGCCGATCTCAAAAGCTACAAATAGTACATATCAACAATAGGAAAATTTTCAAGAGGGAAGTAGAAAATCCAAGTTTAGTGTTTTTTTAATTAAATCATGTTTTTTGTTGTATAGAAAGCAATGACTAGCGAAATATTTGATTAAAGTAATTAACAATTGAATCGGTGAGTACAGAAACCACTTCAGTCACAAATTTCAATTTTTTAAGAGAGAAATGTCATAACTCTTTCGAATTTTCAAATATTTGAACTTTTTTTTCCTCTCTGTCATAACATGCATTTATGTTGCTGCCATGCAAAAATTACCTAATTTCGACATAAATTATGCTCAGAAAAATTAAAATTTGATTCGGACTTTATATTAATTTTACAATTTAATATATTTATATTAATTAGGATTTTATTTATGTTGCATCAAATTTTAAAAATTTATATTTTTTCATATTATATCAATAATGAAGTTACAGTTATTGCAGTCATCATAAAACAGGAATATAACGAAGTGAAATGCTCTTAAAGATCATTCTCGACGATTGTATCATTGTCACGTGCTGTGGTTGGCCAGGTAAATAGTTCATCATAAAAAACTTTGAAGTCTT